GGGTGTTGGTAGGAAAAGTAATTGGGAAAAATGGTCGCATTATCCAAGAAATTGTCGACAAGAGTGGTGTAGTAAGTATATTTTTATCATTAGTTAATATAAGCTAACAAATCTATATTTTCATAGATATTCCTTTCAGAATTAATATCTGTCAGGTAGGGACTGCTCTTTCTCAATTCAAACGATGTTTAAAAATATGATATTGACGATATTATATAAGTATATCAATTTTCATTTTCAGTTGATACAGTATGATTTTGTTGAAACTGTTAAATTTAATACTTAGATTACATATAATACTTTACAGATCCTCTACATCTACTGATATATATGTTTATCTCTCAGGGTATGTAGCAATCATCTGAAATTTCCAATACGCGTTCTTAAGCATAACAATTATTATAAGCTCTCTTTTGCAATATACGCATACTCTCAGGTTGTTAACGACAGGTCACGCTTAAGAACTATTCCGTAAAACTAAAAATCAAAATTAATATAGCATTCAATTGAAAATGGAAGTTATAATTTATGAGCGATTAGGTTATATATGACATATACCTTGTCTGTTCTCGGTAGATAACAACTGGCTCGAGTGGGAATATACATATTGATAAAGTAAGTATGTCATTTCCTATTGTTTGTGATTTTATTCCATCCAGTTTAGTCAATCATTCATATATATATACATATATATATATTTTTTCATATGGAAGCACTCGCAAATCTTACATGAACCACTCGGGCCAGTTCCTTTAAATTGTATTAAAAATAATAATAAGAATAATAATTGTATTTTGTTTGTAATTTTAATCAGGCCTGTATTCATGTTTCACATTTAACACTAAATGCGACTGTGTCATTCTCTGAATGCTATTTATCTGTACCAAATATCAAAGTTGCATTCAGTATAGTCTAATAATCGCGTGGCCGCATTTGATGCTAAGTGTGCATTGTGTATATGGACCTTAATGCTACATGTACATCGTAAACACTAGATGCATAAGTCGTTCCATGTCCATGCATTTGTTTTTTGTCGTCAATTATGTTTTAAAAATGAATATCCTTTCAAAATAATGTTCTTACAATCTAATTTGTGGAAAAATTGCTAATAATTAGAGATGTACGACATGAAGCATTTACTTCTATCATGTGTAACAAGAAAATTTTACGATAAATATTTTTTTAATGCAATAGTATATTAAATATGTATATTAAATGCATGGGGAATTAGATAAATTTAATGTACATACATATACGGTTTTTTCCTTTTTTTTTATTTTTTGTTTTATAAAAAGAAATTATAAATCTACTAATCAGAAACACCTTTCGTGTACAAGATATATGTATTGTAACTGTTGAATAATATTTTGTAGAACAAAAAGTTATTTTTGGAATAGTACGTAGGATAAAATTATTGTTATTTTAAAAAAATTAAAATAAAATCTCTAAATTTTTTTACGGTTATATCTGAAGCTGAAAGTTATAATCATAAATACATGGTACAATTACAAAATATTTAATATAATGATATCGTGATACAATGATTGTGCAATACATAATACCTAAAACATATTATTTGAAAAAAAAAAAAACGGTAGAAGTATCGAGAAATTATTTTTCCAAAAATTATTCCTTTTGGGGGTATAAAGGGTGTAAAAAATATTTAAGCAAATTTTCGCAGACTGATCGACAAGTCTATTGATGGAAATGACAAACGCCAGTGACTGAAAACTGATGGTATGGATATGAAATACGATTTTAAGCGTCTCATAATAATAATCCATACTACTAAGTGCGTTAAAAGCGCAATTTTAATGACTACGCATTTCAGGTAAGAGTAAAAATAGAAGGAGACAACGAACCTCAACCAACGATTCCACGAGAGGAGGGTCAAGTGCCCTTTGTCTTTGTTGGCACTGTCGAAAGCATCGCCAATGCCAAAGTTTTGTTGGAATACCATTTGGCACATTTAAAGGTATAATTATAAGATACACACGATTCTCCGAAATTTTTCACATAAAACCGGATCTCCCAGAGAGAAGTCGCAAAATAAATTAAATTTAAATTTGATTATGGCATTATCACGTTATATGATTTATATACTATATATAGGAAGTAGAGCAACTCCGACAAGAAAAATTGGAAATTGATCAACAACTGCGAAGCATGCACGGATCGACTACAGGACCGATGCCCAGTTTTCCTCCCACAAGACGAGGAATGGTTGCAGGACCTGAAGAGGGTATCAGCGGTCGTGGTGGTCGCGGTGGCCAGTCACGAGGGCGCGGCTCTCGGGGTAGAGCTCCTACCAGACACAATGCCGGTAATATTATTAAGATACGCCATAAAAATTGATGGAATGACATCGTTTCTTAACTGTTAAAATATAAATATAATAATTTAGAATGTAATGTAATGTCTTACGTTTTGCAAAAGAATTGTAATACATTGTTAACACATAATAATTGTCTATATGTACTAGAAATCTAACAATTGACCATGTATTCTTTAGGATTACGTAGAGATACTTTGGACGGTAGTGAAGATCGTGTTCGGGATTTACCACCGAGAGGTGGTCATCAGGGAGGTGCCGGTAATTCAGGGTACATGAGTGGCAGGCAAGGTCGTCCTCCAACTCAACGTAGAGATCGTAGAGACGAACGCCGTCGTACTACCGATGACGAAGACACTGTTTTAGACAGTCAAGATGTTTCAAGCATCGATAGAGGTAATAATATTTATTGGTAGAGTACGCGCGCGCGCGCGTGCGTATGGTGTGTGTGTGGGGGGGGGGGAGTGGAGAAAGCAAGCGAATGAAAGATAGATGCGTAGAACGATTGATGACAATTCCTACATATATGTATGTATGCATATAACCGTTTCGTCCTAAAGATAAAACAATGTACTTGTGTATGTATTAGAATTAGAATGCTTTGAATTAGCATGAAATGTGGAGCAAACTCTTGTGACCATCTAACATTAATGTTAACGTCAAATTTACAAATTTAAATTTCTATGTTTCTATTGCATGCTACTAACGTATGCAGTGCACAGCTTTCGCTATCTGTGATTACAAGTTTACTTTTAAATGTCAATTGCGAGTCCGGATGGTCACAATGGTTTGTGTATATGTATAGAATCAGTATCAAGTGTGGAGGGAGGACCTAAAGGAATAAGACGAAGACGATTTCGGCGTTCACGGCAACGGAGCTCAACGCCAACGAATGCTGGCCAGACAGGTAGGCGGTACAGCTACCCTCTAATCAATAAGCTCTCGTCGCATAAGCTCATCTCTTTAGGACGATCGGTTGTACAAAAAGGCATATCATATCCATCATTTTCCAGTGCATTTCCAGGCACTATGTAGTAGGCTGAGATGACGCGTGATCACACTTGTACATACGAAAACATTCAGAGTTAATCTATAAATTTGTTTAGGCAGTAATGCCGGCCCGTGCGACCAATCAACAATGAATAGCAAGGAAGGAACACCCGCGAACGATGTATCCATGTCTAACAACAGTTCGCAAGGACCTAAAGGCCAAAGAGAACATCGGTCTCGTCCTCCTCGTATGCAGCAGCAGAGCAATAAGCCTAAAGAAGCTGCTCTGGTTAATGGTACCAGTGGCTAAGCGACCGTGGCGCGTTGTCGCCAATTGCTACTAACGTTGCTACGTTACACCTGATGAGAGCTATTAACTCCCAGCACGTAACATGACGCATACCGACGCAAGGACTACACGATTATGGAACGCGACATGATTAGTCTACGCTCGTTGTTAAGACTGTTTGCTACCGATAAGAATACGACAATTGTTTAAGAAATCGTCATTCTCCTTAAACACATTTAAGGACACATATTAATATCCATGCATGGTTTAGTTTAATGATGGTAATTACACTGTCATGTTTGATATACGGATACATTCATTGGGAGAGATAGAGAATAGCATTTGGTAAGAAGGATTCCCTGATTGTGAAACTGTGCCTCATTTTTATACCAAGCTCCTAACTTATGTGGCAGTCGGCTTCGGATGTACCGTACCATACAGGTAGTACACCTTGGTCACTCGTTAACGTTTAACGATCCAATATTAGGCTGGATAATCGCGGCTCGTACGTCAATTATCGTCGCTCTGAATAAGTTTTCATCTAGATATGTCGCTCTCAGTACTTACATATATAATTCGGTACTTGCAGTGTGGTTCCGACATCGCGTTCCGATGTCAAGTTTATTTAGTTTTAGCTTAATTGCCAAGTCAAATGGCAGCAAATTATTGTATGTACTTTTCATGAATGTTACATAATAACATAAAGATTTTATATATATATATATATATATATATATATATATATACATATATATATATATAGTTGCTTTAATACTTCTTTATTACTTTATATCGACGTAACCTCGTTATTCTCTAATACCTTTTTAGAGATAATTATGAAAATCGAAACAAATGCGACATAACTATGATGCAACTCGACGCGGGTATAAGGAAAATGGATTTCCGTTGTTAATTATTAACAATGGTAGGCGGCAGCTCTAAGAAATTCTGGTTCAAAGGTGTTCCCAATGATGTTCCTTTCTATTTACTTGAGGAAATTGAGTTTTTGATTTACGATTATTAGTAGAGTTATTTAACAACACTAGATTTTTACGTTTCTTCAAAGCTGAGTGTTGATTAATAATATCATGATGATTGCGAAAATGACTTATTCGAATCTAACACACGGTCAGATGTGCACAAGGAGTCGGTTTTTATTTCCAAATACACTTTTCACGTAATTTAGTGTCTTTTCTTTTTTCTCTTTCTCTCTTTTTTTGTCTTTTCTTTTAATTTTTTTTTTACTTTTACTACAGTCTAAGCTACTATATCAAACTTTAGGATTCGATATCGAGTTTGTTTCTGCATTGTTTCGCATGATTTAAAAAGAAAGTAAACGTATACTTAGTAATACCAATGTATGATGTGCCAGAGAAGGAATGATACATGTTTTATGATATCTAGCTAAAGTGCAGACTTAGCGCATACCTTTATTACTATAATACTACTTAGTCGAAATGTGGATGTCTGAACAAATAAACTAGCTTTACTATACTAAGCTATAAAATAGATATGATCAATTGTTTTAAATTGATTATCAACATTATTAAAAATCAGTTATCAATTTAAAACAGTTGTTTCTTCTTCCGGATATGACAACAACTAATCGGACGTGTCTCATGAATTTTGCAAAAACACATGGCGGTTGATGCAATATATCGACACCTAACAAAACAGCTGTCATTTTATCTGAATATTCTTATGACAGCCAAAAACTGAGATATCCCCCAACTTGCTTGTTTCAGATACATTTGTATTGATTGCAATTTGTGCATAATTTAAGAATAAAACATTTCTGTACATAGACTGGCTATTGGTATAATAAACCTTGAATTTCCTTCAATATAAACGGTGCGACACGTTTTACTTAAAAAATTTGGAGACTTCCACTACCCCCTCACACACACGCGCGCGCGTGCACTCTTATTCTCTATCTCCCCCTTCCCTTTGCTCGTTTAACATTATAATTACTCACGCGCGTAGATGTGTAAGTAAATAATTAGATTTAATTATTTCAATTAACTTGTTTAATTATGTTCGATTAATCAGTATTTAATTAAATACTGATTTAAAGTTCAATAAATAACTTACACGTTAGTAAAAGTGTTACGTTAATTAAAGTAAACATAATCGTTTGTGGTGATCTTGTTTAAAAAACGTTGAAAATTTGTAATCATTTTTAATATGCACATATTTGTTATGTATAAACTTTGTTACTTGTTTGTGTAATTACCAATTTATTTTTTTCGCACAGACGTAAGAGAACTTCCTAATTACATTTACAATAAATAATTTAATAAAACTTGAGAAGCTATAAACGTTGCAATGAAATTTTAGACTGTCTAATATGAGCTATTTTAAGGAGGAAAGGTATATTGCGCATAATTTGCCATCAGTTTATTACATAAAGAGAGAGAGAGAGGGAGATAGTTTCAGGTACAGAAATAGAGATGAGATTGAGAGTCTCGCTCAGAGAGCGACTGAGCGCGCGATGGTCGGATGGTCAGTGTATGCCCAGATTTCCACCAAGACCTTGTTCTTTTCGCCATTGAGCCAATCTGATGGCGTACCATCCCTGGAACAAAAGCCAAGAGTTGCAATGTACATCTCTATCGATGTGCTTTATTCGCTTGATTTATTTCGTCTCCAAATATCTCTTACTTATTTCTTGTATTTATTATATATATAATATATATATAATAGTATAGTAGTACTTGATAGCTGGTGTTTACTCACCTCAACGTCCGCCTCGGAAAGACCTGTTTCAGCTGCAAGGAGTACAACGTCTGCATTATGAGGTGCTCTTGGCCACCTGTTAAACTGCTCTTGAAGAACCGTTTCCTGATCCATCGTCAAACGAATCACTCGAGTACCTGTACCAGTGCTAGGTCCCCTGATAGGATATCGTGCGGGATAAGACTTCAGCATTCTCCCTTATGAAAAGAAAGTATATTCCGAGTCAACAAAAAAGTCAATGAGAAACAAAATGCAATATATAACACGATTGATATAATACAAGGATATAATCGACTTTATAATACATTGATTAAAATCAGCCATTCTGCTTTTTTAAAGTTCCACAGTTGATAATTATCGATTCCTATCTTAAAATTGGCGTGTTACCGGCGATTGAAGCCTCTTTTCCCCAATGTTTAAAAATTCATATCTTCCAGAAAAATAAAGAT